TCTATTTGAAATTGATTTGTAAATCCATTATATGTATCATGTTAAGCGCATAGAGCATTGCATAAGTGGATATGCGCTATATAAATGCAATCCTTTATTTTATTTTTTATTTGTGGTGGCCGAATTTTAATGGCTGCATCGATCGACATGCAGTTTTCGCCAAAATATTCTTTAAAATATTCCCCAGGTCATGGCACCCTTCGTTTTTTCAGTTTTGAGACAGTTTTGCTGCAAAAAGCTTAACTTCTTTATTTCGCCGATCGCTTTTGTAGGCCAACGCTTCTGATCTGTAATTTTTGAAAATCCGCTAGGTTTGTTTATTTCAAGTCGTACTTCAGTTCGATACTATCGCGCATTGTCGCGCAATACTGAGCTCTATCAAAGATAGTACAAGACAAGATGGGCCACTCAGCCTAAAAAGTGTCCGCAGGAAGTATGCTCTTTGCTTCAGATGGCGCTGCAGTCTGTTTTGAAGCTCTCTTTCGTTTTTCCAGAAGAAGAATAGGAATAGCACCTCCTTGCGTGCGCAGATCGACTGCAAGTTCATCAGCAGTTCGGGTACGTTCAGTGCGGAGTTTTAGGGGTTTTTTAATTTTAATATCCTCTCGCCCTTCATTCTAAAGTCAAATTAAACGAAGAAAACCATCTCCTTTTCCTCCGGAAGAGGTTTTTTGTCAGCGTAACCATTTTTAAAAAGCGTTCTTCCTAAATTTATCCCAAAACTTGCTAGTTTCACTTTGATTTTTAAAAACTCAAGTAGGGTAACTCTGTTCGCAAAGAGTGCGCTTTTGTGAAGAGGGCGCCACCAAATTTTGAGGACACTTTTTTAATTGGCTCAAAGAGAGAAGTGGCCCATCTTGTCTTGTACTATCTTTGGCTCTATATAGATCTAGCCTGATATTTGTTTTTTTTCCTTGGTGCTAAATTCGACTGCAATCCTTTCGTTTTGATGCCCATCATCGCTTTTTCTGGACTCCTTTGTCAAATTATTTTTCTTGCTACTGGGAACAACGTCAACAGGTCTTAGATTAGAATCTAGATCTAGATAGCGCGTGACCATGCCGAAAAGAAAACGAAGTTCTGCTGTTGGAACCCCTCGAGCTCGTAAAGGTTGAGGTGGTCTAGATCAACAACAAAATGATGGGGACTCTCTAGATCTAAATCTCCCAAAAGCATTCCTCTACATTGTCAATTCCTTTCAGTACGAGTGCTACATTGGGGAACTGACGACACAATGTACACACTGCCTGGCCATACGATGTCCATATGAAACACAAGATATCTGCTACAGCAACGGCAAAAGTTGATCTGCATCCATTTCCAAAACCACCTCTTGAACTCCAAATCCTTCTGTCTGGTGCGTCGACACTGTCCACTCACTTTCTTGAAAAAATCAGGCTGTACAACAATTACTCTCAGCTCACATCCATGGGCTATACCGATGCAACCCTCAATGGATGGAATCCACAGTTTCGCGTGCAGGGTCAATTATATCATCGCATTGGCTCTCTCCTTCCTGACACCCAAAATGAGCATTCATTTGTACAAGTTTATTTCATGGAAAGTGATGCAGCCTCAGAGCGCAGAAACAGTCTTTTCCAAGTACTTGAGCCTGGGATCATTTCTGATCTTCAAGCCATGTTGCATTGCCATAATTCGTATGTCATAATCTGAAATGAGCATATGAATTTGCACGCTCACATTTCGAATAGTCTGTAGAAGTGTCATGCAAAGTTTTGTGGGCCTAGGTTAATTGTCAATGAGCAAGAATGTTTTTTGACGTAGTCAGAAGAAAGGGAACAAGCTATAGACTCTGTCATTATAAAGACGTCGATGTGTTCCTTTTTCAGTGTAGCAGCCCTTTGGTGGATTATTATTTTCTTAGTCCTTTTTTGTGATGGTGTAAGGCGAAATCCCTATTTTGTGATTGTGAAGGGCAAGACAGCAATACGCTAAAGCAATGTAGATCAAGAAAGGAGTTAATCAAGGCAGACTTAAACTAAAGCAATATAGATCTAGAAGCCAGGTATGACTGTGAAATGCTAGACAGC